TGCTTGACAAAGGCAGAAGGCATATCTTCAACATTAGGAGCGTTCCTTATCTCCCAGAAATAGTCAGAAAAAGTCCGAAGTAGTCAGATTTAGTCCAAAAAGCGTTCCTTAACTCGGAAATGACAGCAAAAATGAGAGAGCAACAGTCAGTGAGAGCGACTCTCATCAGTCCGAAGTAGTCAGATTTAGTCAGAAGAATTTTTTCTGGCAAAATCCTGAAAAGTGTCAAACTCAACTGAATTTAAATTAACGGAAATTAAAGAATACGCAAAAACTGAGAATAATCTAAAAAGTAAAAAAATGAATTGAAATTGGAAGGAGGCAAAAAATAATTGATATAGTAAGTGTTTATTGTGGTAGTGCTTATGTGAATGTGTTTCGTACATACATTTCCATTCTTATTTGACGTTAGTTTTGTTGTTGCCATTCTTTGGACTAAAAATTTGGTTTTTTGCGTTCCTTTACTTTTCCTGTTATTCTCTTTTAGTTAGCGCATTTTGCTTACGCTCTGGAATTTTGACACTTTTCAGATTTTAGTCCAAAAAGATAAGGAATGAACCTATTATAACTTAAAGTAAAAAAGGCATGCAATAAAAGAATACAACAGAACCAAAAAATGTTCTCAAAACTATTAAACATAAAAAATTGCACGAATAAAATTCATAATTTTAAATAAAATATCGCAATTGTTTTATATATNCGATGGATTCCGCCACCAATATGTTTTCTCCTTTGACAAGATGTTGGAGAATCGGCAGAGCGGCAGCACAGCCGTATACCTACTGTATGCTCTTACGCGCATACGCTAACTTTCTCGCACCTAGCTAAAGTGCTTGACAAAGGCAGAAGGCATATCTTCAACATTAGGAGCGTTCCTTATNAAAGGCATGCAATAAAAGAATACAACAGAACCAAAAAATGTTCTCAAAACTATTAAACATAAAAAATTGCACGAATAAAATTCATAATTTTAAATAAAATATCGCAATTGTTTTATATATGTACATACATATTTACAAAATAAATCTTAAAGTACCCACAGTAAGTCCTAAACATATAAATGACNCACGAATAAAATTCATAATTTAAAATAAAATATCGCAATTGTTTTTTATATGTACATACATATTTACAAAATAAATCTTAAAGTACCCACAGTAAGTCCTAAACATATAAATGACTAATAAGAAAAATAATAAATAACAGTAATATGAAAAAGTATGTCGAGAAATGTCTAAATTGTAGCGAAACTGTATCTCAATAATAACAATTTTAAGCAAAAAATACAACCGACTTCAATGCGCATTTAGGTCGTTCTGGTTACGTAGATCCGACTGTCCTCCCTTTTTTTAAAATGGTTAAAAATATGAATACGTATTCTACAGAAAAAAATCAAGATACATATTTAAGGATTTTAAGTAAAAATAAATAAAGGAAAACTTGTTCGTGATATCTCGACCAAGGTGTATTCATGATACAAAAATCTGAAGGTAAAACCGTTGAAAGGCAGCCTGAACATTTTTAAAGTTTGCTAACATTACAAAAATGTTCTCAAATTTCCAATCTCACAAATAATTTCATTTTCAGTCTCAAAGAAATGAAAATTTCAATATTTTCATCTATTTGTTTTTTGTTTTACTTTTATTTGGCATTTGAGTTGCTCTTAAAATTTCAATTTTATAAAATAGACAAACTTCAAAAAATAAATGACGAATTGAGCAAGCGGTTTTACCTTTAAATATTTGTATCATGGGTGTATTAAACAAGGGGCCGTATGCATAAAACCTAAGCAAATGCTTTTTCTTAAAATTTCAGACCTTTCACTAAATTTTTTCAAATAAAATTAAGTGAAAGATATGAAAATCTGAGAAAAAGTAATTGCTTAGTTTTTATGCATACGGCCCAAGGTGTGGCTCTCTTTTAAGATACTATTATGTAGAAAAATATTAACAAACGATTCAAAATTCATACAAATTTTTTTTCAATTTGACTGTATAGGATGGTTCTTCTGAGAGCATGGTCAAATTCAATCACGCTTTGTTAAATACATTTTGATCTCTACCAAATAATATACTTCCTCTGTAAATATTTTATGAATTGTTCCAAAATTCGCTCCGAGCGCGTTCACTGTTGATCATTTGATTTAGATAGTTTGTCAAACAATTAATACTATAGTTTGATCGGAGTTAATATATTCTTCAGTAATTAATTATATTATATTAAAACATAAGCTTATGAGAAATTATTTAGTTTTAACATGCATATTTTATATCGTATTCCAAAATTCGCTCCGAGCGCGTTCACTATTGATCTTTTGATTCAAATATTGTTTGTCAAGCATTCAGTAGTGAAGTTTGATCGGAGTTTATATATTATTCAGTAATTAATCATATTAAATTGAAATATAAACGTATAATATGGTAGAAAGTTAGAAATTATTTAGTGTTAATATGCATAATTCACTCCGTGTTCCAAAATTCGCTCCGAGTGCGTTCACTATTGATCATTTGATTTAAATAATTGTTTCTCAAGCATTCGGTACTATAGTTTGATCGGAAATTATATATTCTTAAGTAATTGATCACATTTTATTAAAATATAAACGTTTAATAGGGTAGAAATTGGGAAATTACTTAGCTTTAGCATTTATAGTCGCCAGAGACAATTGCAGAAAACTGCAACTACTCGTGAAAACTTACAATAAAAGCAATGTAGATAAAGGTAATAAATATTATTATTAAAATTGGATCCATATATAAAACATTTTACATCATTTATTTGAAGTAAATCGGAATATAGTTTTACATATAAGATCCATTTAACTCATAAAGTACATATTTCACTACAAATATTTTTAAGATCATTTCGAATTGCAAAAATAGCGCCAATTAGTTGTATTGAAGTATAAAACATTTTATTATGTTCATGTTTACTTATAAAGCGCATAACAATATTTCTCTCGCCATTTATCCAATGTTAAAATTTTTCACCACAGCACCCTGAATGCGGCAAAACAGTTGCTACCCTCAAGTCCTTTATGGGGACCAAATTAACAGCCACAACAAAAACCTTTTCAACTGGTATACTGTGGGTGAACCACGCATGTGGTCCCAGAGCGCTCAGTAACAGTGGCTACACACGACGAACATATCCGCGCACATGCGCGGCTTGCGGGTCATGTTCGTCGTTGGAGGGCGGTTTGCGAGCATGCTCGCCAAAAATCAAAAAATTTTGATTATCAGCGAGCATGCTCGTCGTTTGTAGCGTGGTTTGCGAGCATCGCATTGGAAACAAAAACAACAACCTCATTTTGTGTTGATGCTTGAAGTGTGCACATCCGCGGATAAATGCATCCAAGCCATGTTATTTAATTGAATTTTTGATAAATGAGGCTAAATTACTATAAGTATATGTATGTACGTACATACAAGTAAAATATAAATAAATTTAAGTAACACATACATAAAAAAGTTAAGTTAAAAGCATTGAAATTGCATCATCCGCGTCTTTCCTTTCCATGTTTACGCTTTGAGTACAAAATCACTTATGAGCCGCTCGTCGTCTGTAGCAAACGACAGCGAGCATGTTGGCGCATATGTGCGCGCAGATGTTCGTCGTGTGTAGCCAGTTTAAACTATGGCATGTCGATCGCTGCGCTAGGTAGATAAAGAAACGTGTGTGCTATGACATGCCCAGACTTGTTTGCCTCAGTTTCTGTGTTGCTATCACCGCGAGTTGTTTCGGTGCGCGCATAGTTATTTAAAAATATAAAGTTTGATGCCAACCGGGGTTTTTCAGTGGATATATAATTCATGTGAATTATAATTTGAAAGTGTCTATTTAGCCAAGGAAAAAGCAAAGCAGTATACTTCCAGCAGATATTGGCCTGGGTTTTCGCACGACTGTTCCTGTTTCATGGTTGTTTTTAGGAAATTCTTACCACCATACACATGTGTATTATTTACTTTAGTAACTAACTTATGCAAATATGTACGTATTTTTATGCTTATTATATGCAAATAAAAGAAGAAAGTAAACACAATAAACATCGAGTAAATTTTTATTTGTGTTAAACTGAAACTTTTTTTCCAATAATAAACGGTAAGCTGGTTCAAGTCTACAGCAAGTTCACAAAATTAATTGAAAACTTGTATCAACCAAAGCATTGTTTATATTTGCTCAACAATGATTTTATTCAACTAACAATGGCCCCTATTATGAGTTACATTAGATCTTCGACTGTGGTCGAAAGTGCTGATCGAACGAATTTTGATTTGATATTTGGCGCTCATTCGATGAAGAATAGCGCAATTGTGAACTTCGCTCGTTTATGTTGTTCACAATAGCATATTTTTCACCGCTGAGAAGCTTTGTTTACAAATCGAGCAAACTAAATAATGTCCTTATACATATTTATGTAAATTTATGCAAATCAAAATGAAATAAAAAAGAAAGCAAGTTTATAAAAACGTGGTAAAAATTAGTACAACGAAGTTCTGGGGTTCAACGATTCGTCAGAGGACGAGAGTTTAGTGAACTGACCAGGAGTAAAATGTTTAAGAGAGTTTAAGTGTAGTCTTTACAATATACTTTGACATACAATATATTTAAGAAATTTGTCTACAGAATTACTTAAAACTTCCGACTGTCTAAAGAGGCGTTTGTGAGCCAAATCTATTTAAAATATTTTAAAACTATCCACAGCTCTATGATTTGTTCTCAGAGATCGTGCCAACTGAGTATTGGGATTTTCCTTCACAAGTAAAGCAGCCTTTCGAGCTTGTGTTTTGTATTCACGACGTTAAAACTGCATGAAATCGATAAATTGTTTAAAATTAGTGTCTACCCGCCAAAAAGTAAGAAAACAAACGCAAAATCATACATTTTTCACAATTTTCTAACACTTCGCTACCCCATCGAATCGAACAGAAGTTTGCTCTGTTCGACAGAAAATTCGATACTCAAGGAAAATTTCGACACGGTTGCATAGCCCATAATACGAATTTCACTTTCGATCTTCGATAACACTGGTCGACGGCCAAAATTTACCAGAGACGCCGATATGAAATTCGTATGTAAAATCACCCCCTGATTCCGAAAATCAAGGTTATTTTTAATTTTATGGTACCGTTTTTGAGATATTTGCAATTTACCGTTTTTGCAAAAAAATTGGGTCCACTTAATCATATATATCTCAAGAACGAATTAAGCAATTCCAAAACGGTTTGAAGCTTTTAAAAGGTAATAAAATTTTCTATAAGCTGTGCATACAACACTTTTTGCTAGGCCCTGTAGATTCAAAGATAACGAACAATCATTACCGATTTTTTCAATTTTTTTTGTAAAAATATAAAAANATCGATGCAAAACTACGTAAGTTATAAGCGATCAAATAAAAATACCCAGGTTGCGCAATTTCAACGTATACCTCAAAACGTATGTATGGTATAAAGAGTGAAATATCTAGCTATGCTGTTTCTATTGAGTTAAAAGTTCAATTTATGAATGAAATTACCCATATTTTTAACTTTGTTTTTAAATTTATTTGTGTTTA